TAATCATTTCCAGGGCAAGCACTAAAGGATCTTATGGTGGAACTAGTGCACAGTCCCTCTGCCACCCCGGGTGATTTCGGAGGGTAAAGAACATGTCTGCGTAAGACACTTCATCCTACTTCCCTTCCCTCTGTAAAAATAATATTAATTGCAAAAGCGTGTTAGAGTCTAAGGTCCCATTTAGTGGCCATTTAGCTGCTGCTGCTTCTAGTTTGTAAAGTGGCCACCACTGGTTGTAATATTTAATCAGGATTTTCTTGTTTTCCGTACTTCCCCTCCCGGCTATATCTTTCTAGTGCGTGAGTATGCAATCCAATGGGCTTTTTTTTTTTACAATTTTTTTCCTGCTTATTTCCTATAATTGTTCTTTCTTCCTAAAATCCTTTCTCTCCACTTATAGCAGTTTCTATACTGTCTTTCAACCTTCTTCCACTCTTCCTCCTTCATTTCCAAAAGTTCCGGTATCTTATGACTTCTTCTACACAATATTTATTAACTCCTATCTTTCGACCGAGAGGTCTAATGACACCGCTTCTTAGCACTCCGCACACCTCGACCTCCTCTTATCAGACAATACCACTTATATTAAGAATGCACTTTGCTAATACCCAAGCTTGATGAAAATTACCAAAAATAGGAGCATAGGAGCACAGAGAAAGCAGGGAATTCTCTCACGAACCCAGTCTGGTACTACCAGTTACTCAGAAGGAGCTGTGTACAATCCTTCTAGCAGGTATAAATCATTTCCCCGTGCCGACCATTCACTCCTTCTACATAAATAATCCAACCAAGTCTAACCCAAACCGACAGAGAAGGGATTCACTTTCCCATCTCCGGCTCATACAATGTTTTCACAAGACATACAAGAACAGTGTATTCTTTAAACAAACATAAACTTCTCATAAACTTCTTACTTATCTTGCAGCAGCTGCCTCTCACACAGCAGCAGCGGCGTCTCACTCACACCCTGCCCCTGCAGGCACGCAGGCACACAGACACACAGACACGCAGCAGCGGCTGCTCTCACTCACACAGCGGCACACAGACACTTAAAGGGCCCATCACACTTCCACTCATACCACAAAATATACCGAGTTTAAACAATCACCAAGTCCGTTTGTAACATATATTATAAACCATTAACAATTAGCAGTCAGTTCAAAGCCAGTATATCCGCCATTAGTGCACTATACAGTGACCTGAAGCAAGATCCTGCAGGTGACGGTAATTACCAGTACCCTGCCCAAAATGCAAACTGCCTCTTATATACCAGTCATCGGTAGTTTGCCCCAAAAGATCTTACTTTCCCGCGGATTCCTAACACCAAAACCAAATGGGTACACCCCCTCCTCGGGACTGAGTCGTGCGCCAGATGTCTCTGTGCGTCTTACCAGCAGCCCGTTACCCTTAAACATACCTCTGTCCGCGAACCAGATGGTCCTTGTCTGCTCCCGCACTGGACAGCTGGGAGCGGAGTTCCTCTGAGAAGAGCTCGGGGTGCACCTAGGAAGTCCACCCATCAGCAGTCGACGGCAGCCGAGCAGAGTCGTCCCATCTGGGGTGCCAAGATGTTTTGCGGAGAAATCACTCTATAACTTTTGGGGTTATAAAGTGGGTATGTTTATTCAGCGCTGGGCGCATGGGGGATCGCTCCACCACAAGCATGTGCATCGTTTGCAGCTCCCATCCGGCTTATATGTTACAAAATAGTGCATATTCATAGAACGCCTGTACATATACATAGTCTACCCCTGCCTCCCCTCGCTTCTCATGGTAATCAGGTCTCCTCCTCTTCTTCGCTGATGAACTTTTCTCCCTGTCGCTCTGCGCAGCCTCAGTTGTTCTCTGGCTTTCTTCCAGGACAATGTTTTGGGGTTGTCTGTTTTTCAAAGACTAGGGGGGACTTCTCTTTGGGCTAGGAGTTAATCGCCTAGCAACGTTATCAGTACTTGGCATGTCTTTTTCGAACAGTCCCATACGCCTCCCCTTGTTTTTGCGCAGGACTTGCACCATCAATCTAAGATTGTTTAGACTCCCTGTCTCAAACTCCATCAGTAAAAATTCCTAAGAATAATTTTGGAGGATTCTGAGAGCGAGATATTGATTATTGGTATATTTGGTGTAACAGAGGTCAACAACAAAAAGAAAACCTCTTCAATAAAAACTAAAGGGAGTTTACTTCCTTAAGCTCCTGAAGCTGAAGAAACTGAATTCCCTCTTAGAAGTACTGGCATGTGCCCAGTGCGTTTGGATTCCAGCCCAAGGCCTGGAGCGGGCCCTGGGGCAGGTGCCGCCGTCTCTCCAGTAACAGTACTGACGTGACACGAACCTGGGAAGCAAGGTGCTTTAGGAACTTGGCAAGCAAATATGCCTCGCTTACGAGCTGATGCTGAAAAATGTGCTCGGTTGTTATTGGGAATTGATTACACCCCTAACTGGAATGATATGAAAACTGCATGACGAGAACTATGTCAAGTAGAGAAAAAAGATTTTTAAAAAAAAAGGTAAGAGAATAACTAATTGGACAAAAGTTTTGGAATGCAAACAAATATCAGACGAGCACCCAAATGATTATTAGGGCCAACTGAAGGCTACTTTAATTATGGGGATATGACCCGTGGACAATTTCCAAGAGCCACCAGCTATTAGTGGTTTTGCAGAAATTCATGCCAGGCTGGCAAGGTAAAACATTAACTAAAATCTTGAGCGTTGCTGCTTTTGTTTTTGAAGGGAGAGATGAAAGCAAAAGCAGCAAGAAGAAAGCTTAAAACTTGAGCAAAAGCGAGAGCAAAAAGAGAAAGAAAGAGAAATTGGGTTATTGGTTGTAGCAATTACCCAAACCTATAACCCAAGGAGGAGAGGTCGGGCATTTCCCTGAGGTAGAATCAGGGGAAGGGGTGTGAGAGTCAGAATTCCTCCCATCTCTCAATACACTAATTCTTTAGAGTGCTTCTGCTGTGGGAATTGGGGACACATGCAGAGAGAGTGCCCGCTGAGACCTGTGTCTGCACAAGGAGGATCTGCACCTGCCAGACCTCGACCTCACTCACAGTGAAGAAAATGATACTGATCTTCTCTGGGAACTGAAAGAGCAATGGGACCCCTTGGAATCGAGGTAGATGAGCACAGTCAGATTTCTGCAAAGGTAAACGGTATCATTTTGGATAAGAAATTAGTTTGGGGTAAATTTGTGATCTCTCCCAATTCCCCTACTTGCCTTTTGGGCTTGTACTGGATTTCGAAGTTCCCCACATTTCAAATGATAGTACGGGGAGTAGTAAGGGAAAAGCTAAAGTATCTACCCCTTTGACGAGATCTTTTGCAGGAATTTGGTACGTTTATCTCCTTGGCTCCAACAGAGATTCAGTTAATTTTAGTAGGCTCAGAAATAATTGAATTGGGAGGTCAAAACCAAAATGATTTGAATGATATATGATTGGAATTGGCTGCAATTCCCAGAGAACTGTGAAATAAGTGGGATTGTTAACATCAGCTGAGCCAATTGTGATAAAAACAAAAGGAGGGACTCCTCCTTCAATTTGACAATATCCAATTATAAGTGAGGCCATTCCCAGTATAGAAAAACACATAGTACATTTTTTTTTTCAGAAAAAAGAATTTTGAAGAAATGTCGTAGTCTTATAATACTCCAATTTTATGAGTTAGCAAACATAGAGTAGATAAAGATGAAGATCCTGAATATAGATTTGTTCAAAATCTGCGAGCTGTAAATGAACATGTAATTGCTTCACATCCAGATCCTAGTCTGACTTTAACACAGCTTCCAGTCTGGGCACAGTATTTCACGGTGCTTGATCTTACAGGAGCTTTCTTTAGCATTCCAGTTGCGGAAGAAAGCCAATCTTTGCCTTCACGTGGCAAGGGAAGCACTTGGACTAGGTTACCACAAGAATTTACTAGGTCTCCAACAATATTTTCTCAAATTTTTTAAAAATTATTTACAAGATTTGTTTTTTTCAAATAAGTCTGTTTTGATACAATATGTTGATGATTTGTTATTAGCAAGTAAAACTAAGGATGATTGTATTAGAGATACTGAATATCTGTGTATCCCACTTGTTAAAAAGGGACACTCTGCACCTGTGGCCAAATTACATACAGTTTTGCAAACAGCAAGTGAAATATCTTGGATTCATATTAAAGCCAGGACTTCCTGATTACTCAAAACCTTTTAAATTCTATTGTGATGAAAATAAAGGAACTGCAAGAGGGGTGTTAGTACAAACTTTAGGACTACATGAATGACCTGTTACCTATTTTTCTTCTACATTAGTCCCAGTGGCTAAAGGAATGCCTTTTTGCATTAGAGCAGTAACAGCAGCAGCTGAAATGATAGAAAGAAAAAAAAAAAAAAAAAGGACAATTGTCCTAGGACAACCACTAATTGTTTGTGTACGCCAAGAAGTAGAAATATGATTAAAACAATATGTGGAGAAAGCTTTTATTTCCTCAAAGGCTGCATAGATAGCAGATAATTCTATTATTGGCTAATAATTTGAAATTGGAAAGGTGCAATACATTGAACCCTGCTACCCTAATGCCTTTACCTTCTGATGGAGAAAAAGATAATCATGACTGTGTCCAACTATTGAGTGAAACCAGCAGACTGCGAGACGATTTGAAGGATCAACCTTTAAATAACCCCGATTTGAACCTCTTCACTGATGGCTCCTCCTGTTATGAAGAGGGTCGGAGATGTACCAGTTTCGCAGTGACTACGGAAACACAGGTACTATTGGTGGGACCTTTGCCTGCACCTTTAGGTGCACAGGGAGCAAAAATAATTGCTTTTACAGAAGCTGCAAAATATGGACTTTAAATATGCTTTTGGTATCTGCCATGCACCTGGGACTTTATGGAAATTACGGGGTTTCTTCACATCAGCAGGGAAGTCTGTGCCTCATAGAAAGCAGATCAAGGAATGATTCGAGGCAATACAATTACCCTCAGAGATTTGTCATCTATATAAATGCTTCATACTCAGAGGCAAGATATGATTTCTAAAGGAAATTCTTTAGCTGACCAAGCAGCACGACAGGTTGTGTCCATCATGGCATTATCACAACATGAGGCGATACTCCAACTCTCGGATATAAGTAAGTTATATGAAGACCTCCCTGATGAAGAAAAGGAGCGGTGGACCCGACTTGGAGCCCATCCACAAAAAGAACAATGGATGCTTAATAACAAGATTCTTCTCCCAAAAAGTTATTTCTTACTGATTATGTGATGGCATCACGAAAAAAATCTCATGGGGGGGGGGCCTGAGAGCTTAGTGATCCAGATTCAAAGACGTTGGGCTGCCCCTGGAATTTATGCAGCAGCCAAAAGAATCTGTGAAGGATGTAAACTTGTAAACAATATGCTTCTGTACGAATTAAGGCACCCAGTCGAAAAAGACCTCCAGCCACCTTTCCTTTTTCAAGAGCTCCAAATTGATTATACCGAAATGCCAAACCCCCCCCCCCAAAACCAAAAAAGGGGGGGTACTCTAACATGTTAGTGATAATTGATCGGCTAACAGGATGGGTAAAAACTTTTCCTGCCAAGAAACATGATTCAAAAGCAGTAGTAAAAAAAAAAAAAAAAAAAAATTATGGAAGGAAATAATTCCTAAATAGGGAATTCCTGAAGTCATTGATTTGGATCATGGGGGCCATTTCACAGCTGCTATTGTAATTCCAATTTATAATTCCTTAGGAATTTTTAGTCAGTTACATACTCCCCATCACCCCGAATCATCCGGCCAAGTAGACCAAATGAACAGAACCTTAAAAGAAAAATTACTTAAGGTTTGTAAACAGATTGGCCTAAAGTGTCCCGATGCTTTAAATTTAGTGTCTCATAATGGTCTGTGTGATTGTTTTGTTTGTTCTATTGGTTCTTGTTCTTTTATAATGCAGAAGATAGAGAGATGTGGAATTACAAATAA